GAAACATAATTTACAAAGTGAAACCAAAATGAAAAAAAGAAAATGAAAAATAGGCTGTATGGCATTATGCCAAAGCCGTTAAAACTGTACTTAAAAAAAAATTAAATACGAAATAAATGTGTTTATGAAGTGAAATTGATGAAATAGTACGTATTTAGCAATGGAAAAACGAATAGCAAAATTTGGAGATACCATCAGTATGATAGAATATGCCAAGGTCGGGAGATCAGACATGAAAAGTGAGTAAATTGTCAAAGTGCGACAAATAGCTTACAATAGCAAAATTTAAGTAATTTAGACACTAACATAATAGTAAACATTAGTTGGAACTCTTTCTGGAATCAGGAAAAGTAAGAACGTTTCTTCGAAAACGTATAATGAAAGAGATGAAGATGATAGAGGTCCGTAGTTTCACAAACAAATTTAACGACATTTCGTTTCTACTTCTGGTTATATACTCGATGACTGCTGTACAGTGTTACACTGTACAGTGGTATCACTGCAGCACTTCTATAAGCATTTAATTAGACAGCTCTTAAGCTTATAGCCGCTCACGCAATGCGCTCCTCCTACCGCAAAATGGCGCCTATTTGGTTTCGCAAACTAGAAAAGCATTCAGTTTAAATACAATTTTTTATAAATAAAAATTATTATTCTGCATTGCTAAATAAATACCCTCCGTACTACCAACAAAAACATCTCAAATAAAATGCCGTAATACACCGCAAATCCTGCACTAAAAAAGCACTAATAAAATTTTTGGTGTACTTGGATAAATATGATAATATTCCGTTTGAGTGGTTCTAACGTTTACCATGAAATTACACCTTAAAGTATAGTTTATAAACATTTATATTCAGGGTAAACTTAAAAAACGCTACTTACGGTATGTTTTCAATAAATAAACACCGAAATCACCAGCTCAAACAATAGCACACACCATTGTCGTGACGTATTTTTGAAGTTGTTTATTTTTTTAAATGACAGACCCAGGCATTAAAAACTTTATGATTTGCTAGAGTAATTACCGAAATAGCAATTAATATTAGTTCTAGATATCCGATAAATCGGTATAAAATCATCACCGGCACCTCTAGGTGTGGTATGCGTCTACGGCTGCATGTATCGCGTGAGCGGATAGTCGCTTAGCAGTGTATGTATGTTACGGTAATCCATGCGTATTATGATACACATCTACAGCAGCAATATTTATACCAACTTTTGAAAAAACAAAGCGCCTGACAATTTTATCCGACGAAACAAATTGCCCATCGCCCAATTCGCTGACCCATAATAAAATTCTGTCTACTGAGCATACTCAGGTATTTCTTCAGGTCGACCCTATTAAGATAGATTTAAGAGAGAGTAAGCTAGAACCAACAATGCATAGGTGCAAGCGAGAAAGTTGAATTGTCTTTGATATCTCGTCTTCTAATTAATATACTTCCTTTTTTCAATAAGAATAGCGTGTGAATCATTCGTGTGGTGTGTGGAAATGATCACTGTGATTATTGTCTGTGATTTTTGGAGTTTCTCATTAGTTAATATAGTGGTTAAATCGTTAGTGGATGAGGCATAACCCAGTCAAAACCATATTACGGCGTATATCTTCCTTTGAGAATAATCGCTTTTCAGACGTTCAGACTTTTAGTTCGCCAACAACGCTTAAATAAAATATCTTTATAATATGTACACGAAGTTCTGTCTTAATTAGACAGACTTTCTAATGAACTTCGTGTGCAGATATTTTAATGAAACATTGATACAAAATGTTTTATGCATCTATGTCAATCGTACTAAGTATGTCTGATATGTATTGTTTAGCTACAAGCACCCCTGAGGGCTTAGTCTTAACTATCTTTAACGGTGTCTCACTCAATATGTTCCCGCTGAGTTCATTGAATATAAAGAGACCAACAGTGTTATTTATTATACTAATTAAAAATCCCAACGTCTCACAACTACACATTCAAAGTAGATTCTTACGACAGTATATTGAAGTGTCTAGTTTGAATAACTTTGTTGGCTATTTGTATGGGTAACCCAGTAACCAAATGTGTAGACGCGAATTTTTTGTGTTCTAAAATTGTTATTCAGTTCGAGTTCTTAGGTTTTCGCGATTGTTACACATAGGTAATGAAACTATTTTTCCGGATATAAATCGCGTATATTTTTTTTTTCAAACAAACCAGAACGAAGAAGAAGACTGTACCACCTCAGTCAACCGTGACCATGGGACCTGTAAACGGCCCGAAACGTCGGTTTGTTTGAAAAAACAAATATACGCGATTTAAATCCGGAAAAATAATTTCATTTCCTATGTTATTCAGTTGTTCGCCCACATACACGCAAGCACGTGCGCGCGCACACGCACGCACCAACACGCACGCAAGCACGCACGCACGCACGATAGCCCGCACACGCACACACACACACACACACACACACACACACGCACACACACACACACACACACACACACACACACACACATACACAAAAAGAGAGAGAGAGAGAGAGAGAGAGAGAGGAAGAGGATAGATAGAGATAAACAGGGAAGGATAACACGTGCTCTCTCTCTCTCTCTCTCTCTCTCTCTCTCTCTCTCTCTCTCGCACACACACTAAAACATACCCTCTCATGCATACACTATCGCATACGCTAACTCGAAAGACATTCTCCCACATACCTACGCTCTCTCGTTATAAACTTCTTAACTACTTCTGCTCGCACGAAACTTACACACATCCTGGATCGTTAACACTTACTTTGCCAACTTTATGAATCTTTACCTTTTTTTTTTTATTTTATATCTTCATTTGCTTTAGCATCTACCTAATTTATTTTTTTCTTCTTTTCTATTGATGTTACACATTTGGAATAGTTAAGAGTAAATCGTTACAGGTGCCTCTGTATATTTTTGTCAAATATAAATACCAATATCACTTGAACTGTTGTTTCTCAAATAGACAATGAATAAATTATCGTGAACAAAGATCACCGGCTTAAACATAAACGGACCTTTTATAGATAGGTATATACTCACTCTCTATGTGAATTGGACTCAGGATCATCCGGATTACGTAGCCGAAGGTTCTTGCGGATATCCACGGTGTCGTTTGAATGCCGGCTCACGGACAGTCCACCCGGCAGGATCATTGCCGTCTCCTCTGTTTCACAAAAGATAAGTATTACCTTTTTAAAGTAATTAGTAGATTCAGGCGTTACTTTGCGGAAGTCCATGTTAATAAAAATGGAAGTAAATTTATTTGCTACTTCGTCAACCCATTGAAGGTTAAATTGTGCAAAATAGTTGCGCTTGTGTTGAATAATTTTTTTCATGCAGTTAACAATATTCTGTCAATATTCGCTCTGTAGACTATATAATAAGCACAGTCCGGTAAGCGATATATTTTGGCAGTCGCTGAACAATTTTCGTAATAGTATTATGTCTAACCTTAATTAATTTTATTTATTTTTTCTGTTTAACTAATAATGCCGAGACCCTTGTTCGCTTGTATTTACTATTACTTTTTTGTTTGTATTTTACTTTTCTCTTTTTTTTTAAACTGGATTAAATAGCTTTTTTTTTAAGTTCTAATTTATCTACATTCATGTTGTTTTTGTAAGCTGTGTTTACTTGTAATTGGTTGTGCAATTAGATAAAATCTTCTATACCTACATTTAATTTTAGTAAGTAACATTGTAATAACTGTAAGTGAACCAAAAAATTAAAAAAAAAAATATTCAACAGAAGCGCATGATTTAACCTTCACCGGGTTCGCGAAGTGGCAAATTAATTTCCCAAGGAGCACACTTTATACGCCTTAAAAGTGTTATATCTATAAACATTCTTAATATGGTATAGATATAGATAATAGTTCTCTATAAATGGTTTTAGAAAAAAGAAGTTGTTCTTATAGACTTATTTCACTCAAGTCCAAATTTTTTCACCTTCTTAATACCAAACAACTTAATTAAGTGTAATCTCTCTTAAGATTTAGTCTTATAGTCCTTATTTTAAGTTCATCTGTAGAACAACTGATTATTTTTAGTAAAATTGTTCAATACACATCCAGTAAAGTCTATTAATACTCTAAAAACTAGTGTTCTTAAGTTTATTCTAGATATATTTAATTTATAGACATTCTGTAATGTTTTTACTTATTGACAAACACGTTATAGCGCGTCTTCAGTAGATAATATTTAAAAAAATACTACAATTAGGGTTTTTACTCTATTGGACGTTGTAAGAGTTCATGCAAAATGGATATAGTAAAGAATATTAAAAGATCTAGTGGAGGTGGTGAACCTTGGATATTAAGTCACATCATTCGATACAATCAGCGTTGCCAATGCCAATTGTGCAAAATCTCCAAAAAAAATCCCCACTACTCGAATTTTCATTATTTATTACAAATACATCGCTTAAAAATATAATAAAGAATTAAAAAACTCAAAATGTAATAATCTATTACGTTTGTTGTGAATGTAACCAGAATGTAAAAAGTAAAACTAATTGTAAAATTAGATGACCTTAAATCGTTTATTTATTTTAATAATAATAACGTACATACTCAACATAGCCCACACTAGGGAAACCCTGTGTTGCGGGTGCCATTGACACACACGTAGACAACCACAAATTACACCCAAACTCACGAGAGAAATAAATGTATGCCATACAAATATTTCTCCCGACCCGGGAATCGAACCTGGGACCTCTGCATGGTAACCGTTCGGCCACGGAGGCAGTTATATTAATTATAATATTAATTAGATTCAACATTAATCAACAATCATTTTTCTTTGCCTTACAAAATTAAGTAAATTGATTATTTGTTGTGCATTTGGTGACACTATGTTAACGTTAGAAATAATCAATGAGTTTCGACCTATATTTCATATTTAAAGTTAACGAGTAGTAAGTTGTTAGGTGGAAGTACCAACTGCTCGGCTTTGTTTATCAATAGCTGATTTCGTTTTTCTTCATACCAAGGAACGGCCTAAGCGGGAGAAAGAATCGTAAACTCAACACGCACCGACTGATAGTATATACTGGTAATATAGTCCATCACAGTGTTTCTAACAGTAACGATCAAACTGGCGATGCATCAGCAATTGATAGATTAAACAAAATGATAAAATGTCCCCACAAAATCCCCAATCTAGTTGAAACTCCCCACAACCGGATGTGTAATAGGATGTGTGCTCGTCCATGTTCTCGTCCATAGAGCTCGAGTTGTATTATTTCTTTCCCCATCTGATTCGGTGTCGGTTTCCGGAATTTTATGTATTTCTTCAACTTCTTGCCTAAATTTATCTTTATTTTGTTCAGTTCAGTCATCTTCGTTACGTTGATAGTATTAATGTTATGTTTTATGGAGTTGTTCCAGGTAAATACGGGCCTTCCTATTTTGAGTTGTGGTTAAATGAGCGAGACGCTGTATTTTAAAATGCATTTTGCCTATAATTTCTCCTACCTCTAGGAACGTAAAGGGTGATAGGATTTCTCTGTGCTTCTCTTCAATGGCGAGTCGATGGTACGTCGTCTAGTCTACTAATATTATTTATATATATTTTTAATTTGAAAACTAAATTGCTAATTATACGAGATAAAAATTAAGATTTTTTTTTTTCATATGAGCAGAGCAGAGCTCTTGTAATAATCTATTTGTTCACATTTATCATTTAGAATAATAATTTTAAATGTGGAATAAACAACCTGAGAGAGCTCAAGGGATCACGCCTAAGCATGTTTGTCATCCCAGCAAGCCCTTTGTTTATTCTTGTTTATTTCATGATAACATAAAAAGGCTAATTCTAAATAAATACAAACAATAATTAAATTAACACAGTATTAAATAAATGTATATATACCTCCTTAGATACATTTATGATTAATTTCTTCAAAGCCTTCTGAGATAACCTAAGGCCGAGTTTGCCCTAACAGCATGCTCCTACCATCGTTTATTAAGGCAAGTACTGCCACTTTATCTATTTCTGCCGCCAAGCAGTAATGTGAGTATTAGTGCGTTCCGCTTTTGAAGGATAAGGGTGCTGGTGAAATTACAGGCACATGGGACTTGTCAACTTATGTCCCAGGGTGACGGGCGCAGTGGCAGTGCCCCTCCGATCTTTGTGCTTTAAAGCTCTGAGAGGCTCTGCTACTGTTATTAACAGATGTGTCGCATACCACCAGGTGCACGACTTTTTTCGGCCCGTCACTTGGTATTATAAAAAGAAAGTGTAAATGAGTTAAACTAAAAAATGCTATTTTAAATGAGACCGAAAAAACCTATTAAATCTGTTTTTTCTCTCTCATTCACAGAAATAAGTACTTTTTTAAATCTTTCTTGATAGAATAAAATGTAAGTAAAATATTGATTGTAAATCGAACCTGTATTTTGCAAAAATGACAGAGATATAGGGTTACAGAAATTGTTTAATCCCTTTCATTGACTTACAAATAAATGGACGACGGGTCTAATACAAACACCACGAAAAAATGTCCCAAGTCAACCTATTTAAACGTAGTGACATGTAAAGGAATATGAAAAAGCTAAAACGTTGAATTTAAATTGTAATGTCATCGCAGTACTGTCTAATTTTGCTTGCTTCGCTGTCAGTCGAACAAACGAAGACTAAAGCGTGAATGACGCTCTGTATACGATTTTAACGCCCTATAAGTTCGGACACTTTTTAGCGCGGACCCGACGTCCATATAATTGTAAGTCAATGATCCCTTTGCACAAAAAATGGAAATGTGTAAAATGGTTAAAGCATATGTAGTGAAATCAATTACAAATTTTGGTGTGGTGTTGTGTAAAGAAAGCATTTTGCGAACAAATCGTGTACAAGTTTTAAAGAACCACTACAGCATTTCATATTTTAAGTTGTTTAGGGTAAAAAAATGATGAAAGTGAAAAGAAAAGGAATAATTTATTTTAACTCTTTTATCACACCCGTATATTAATTCCTGGAATAGTTTGTCGTAATTATTGGCATTAATTTTATTTCTTTGTTTTAAAATAAATACCAACTGAACAACTACGCAAAAAAAAAATGTTCGCTTTTTACAATTCTGATTTTGAGGTTTTTTATTATCGAGTTTTTTCTGAAGACAGTTGCGATTCTACATTTTTTATTCTTTATGAGTAGTCAATCGTACCTCTTAAAGGCACATCGCTATCAGGAGAACAACCATGATGTTCCTGACAAGCTCTGCGCTGGACCAGAGAAGGGCAGTGCCGTCCACCATGCGCAGGCGCCTGGACCACGCGTCTGCTCCGCACCATGCTGCCTGATCCGCAGGACGTGTCGCAGTCTGACCATGGACCCCATGCTGATATTACGCAGTCGATCACTATTGGACAATAGAAAAGAGACGCATTAGAAAATTCAAATTTAATTTTGTTGCTGTGATGATAACCTCGTGAGAAAACCCGTGAGGCGGAGAATTAAAACTATACAAAGATATCTGACGTGGTCATACTCTCAACAAACAACTTGATACAAGCTCAAAATTGAATTGGTATGTGACGTCTTATACAAACAGGAGTGCGTTGATGTTAAGAACAAATAAATAAATATCTATAATAATAATAATAAATAAAATAATTATCTTTTGTTCTTTTTATTTCTTTTTCTTTAATATCGTGGTTACACTAACGATAAATACAAGTTAAAATCTAACGAAGACGACTGTAAATTGTGTGAATAAATAATTTTCGTTTTTTTCATTAGACAAAAATGCTATTTTAATTAGAGAATAGTTATTTGATATACAAGGCTGCAAAGTTGTTGTTTGGACGCGAGCGCTTGTATTGAAACCTGATCAAGCGACGGCCCCTAAGATTAACAAGAAATAGTATATAGAATCCCGAGTGTTGCGAGAGTTTCAAGGCACGTGACGCACAACAACTTTGCTGCCGAGCGAAACACACAACTTTTCACCTCACTACAGCGAGGAAAATGGTAGATGAAAGAAAAACAGTTGAACTATAACAAAATAATTTAATAAACAAAATTAGTTATCGTTGCCAATTTAATGTCAACAATAATAAAAATAAAATATACAAACGGATTTATATTACATAAATATTAAACAAATCGTGTAGTTGAACATGTCATGTTTTTGTTTTTCATCGAAATAAAAAGTTCAGTGTACCACAACCCATAATCAAGTTCGAATTTCAAAAACCTTTACCACGCTAGCGTGGAAACAATGCTTTTGCGCCCAGATTTCTAATGAGAAATAAAGCCTTTCCGAGCTAGTGAGGCGAAAAAGAAATTACAATTTTCCGATTACCTGATTGAGTTTTGTTTACAATAAAGAATAAAACGCGAATTGAATATTATCCTGACTACGGTAAAGCCGATGAAAACGTTACCCTTTTCAAACCTTTGTAAGCATGGAATTACTTCGCGATTCTGAGCTTTCTGTAACAGGAATTGGTATTATTACCGATTGCAGTGAAATTGCAAACTAATACCCAAGAAGAATGCTGTAGCACGTATTTCCAAATGCATTACGTGTACAATTGCATTGTATTTTGTCCCGAAGAAATTACAGACGTTAGTAGCGATAAAATTTAGTCTATATGTCCCTAAAGACAACAGGAAGCGACTCAAGAAAAGCTTTCTCCATCTCCAGACTTAGAATTATACGTTACGTGATGTTTTCTAAGAAAAGCAATGGAAACATTGGATGTACAATGTTTTGCACAATTGTAATGGACAATTTGTTCTGTAAGACACAAGACTTGTTATTGTGGGATAAGAGCTTTTGAATAGAGGACGACGAATGCTTGTACAGTCGTTTGCAATAAAATTTACACATTTAAATTATAAAACATTTTGCATAAATTGAAAAGTCTTTTTTGACAAGTATTATAATAAAAATTCAACAAAAATTTACGAAGATTTTTGTTGTCTTTGAACTTTTTTAGGTCAGTGCTTTTTATTGTAAAAAAAAAGGCCTTGACTAACGCCCTATAGCCCCTCACTCCAAACCAGCAAAAGACGAGCAGACATTGTTTGTACCACTGAACAGTTTCGAACTGCACACTCCCATGGATTCTTTTGCTTTCTTGGTAGCTTTTAGTATAATAAAATAAATCGCTCACTATGTATATATCCTATGAATAAGTTTCAATATAAGAAAACCATACAAGACTAGTTAAAAGGATTATACTACAATGATACCGAATATTTAGTATCTGTTGTTACGTAATATTAATAATAGTTAAGATGCTAACTAATATAATTAAGTATTCATGTTTTATTGTAATTTATTGTTATTGAATAAAATATGTTGAAAATACGTTGACTAACCATTATTCTTTAAGCACTGATTTGGATACCTAAGATACAAGTAAGCAATTTTACTTAGTTTAGGTATCACCTAGATTAACTTGCACTACTAAACTTAATTAAAGTTATGTAAGCATACAATAATATCACTATTTGCTATAGTCTGGCGCATATGTGTAAATATAAAATAAGGTTTTTTCACAAGATTCATGTATTTAAGTCAAAATTTATACAGAATAAATTTATCTTTATCCATTGACTTACAAATAAATGGACGACGGGTCTAATACAAAAACCAAGAAAAAAATGTCCCAAGTCAACCTATTTAAACGTAGTGACATGTAAAGGAATATGAAAAAGCTAAAACGTTGAATTTAAATTGTAATGTCATCGCAGTACTGTCTAATTTTGCTTGCTTCGCTGTCAGTCGAATAAAAGAAGACTAAAGCGTGAATGACGCTCTGTATACGATTTTAACGCCCTATAAGTTCGGACACTTTTTAGCGCGGACTCGACGTCCATATAATTGTAAGTCAATGTCTTTATCTTTAAAGTGGTAATCGACCTGCCTACCCGTAACAGTTGCAGTGCTTTCCCGTAACAGATTCGAGCATTAATTCGCAAATATCTGTCACCCAGAGACATAAGTTAACAAGTCTCATGTGCCTGTAACTTCACCAGCACCCTTACCCTTCAACCCTGAGCTCAGTAAAGTAAGCATTACTGCTTGGCGGCCTATATAGGTAAGGTGACAGTACGACTCTGGACGAACTCTATTACAAGGAACTTTTCTGCCACTAAATAGATGCATAATAACTACTTCCCTTTACCAAAGCTTGCATTTCCTTCTGAAGGGACAAGATGACTGATGAAAATTACGAGGAAAGTGAACTTTTTAAATTTTTTATGGTTCCAAGTATCAGGACGAAGAAGCCGTGTGCCTCATAGTAAGCGATACGCCTGTCGCCTTTCACCCAGAGACTTAAGTTGACAAGTCCCATGTGTCTGTAATTTCACCAGCGCCCTTAGGCCTCGTTTCCACTATTACAGACCGGCGAATTTGCCGGGTCGGTACAACTGCCGGAAATACTAGTGGCTGTACAATTTACACGAAGCTACTCACATTATACCCCTACCCGGCATCCTTTCCGGGTCCGGTCATTGTTGCCGGAGCGTTTGTCACTGCGGACCGCCGGCAGAATGCCCGGACCGGAGTAACGTGAACGAACTTGCTCAGTCTTGCTCCGGTATCCCTAACCCCCGCTTGCCCCACCTGTACTCCCCGCGTGTCTTTTTGGTGTTCATCCAAAGAGGATACTAGCTGTCATTCGAAAGTAATTGAAGAACTTTGACTCGTCATTTCTCAGTTGGCCCTTTAATGTTTCAAAAGTTCCTAGTGAAAATCTTTCCCGTAAAATAGCCTTCTAAGATACCATTACAACGGGAGGCTGCTGAGGTTCCTGGAGGAGCTTGGGTGGCACGAGTAGGACCCTGCACCCACCACACGCAAAATAGGCGCTTTGTCGTCGAGTTGCGGATATCAGCCCGTTGCACCAAGTACCAAGTACCATTACAACACCACAATTTCGTCGTCCATCATGCGCTGTGGTCTGAATTCCACTGAGGTGAGGACTTTAGTCTTCGGTTTTCCCGCAAAATCCCGCTTAATATGAACACCTAGTCCGACTGCCGGTTTCCCGGCAAATTCGCCGGTAGTAGTGGGAACGAGGCCTTACCCTTCCAAACCGAAACGCAGTAATGCTCGCATTACTGTATGGCGGCAGAAATAGGTAAGTTGGCAGTACTTCCGTGGACGAACTCTTTCACAAGGAGCTCTACTGCTACTAAACCTTGAGTAACATTGCAATAACAAAATAGAACCTCGCTGTCACAGAATAAAATCCAAATTACCTAATCAACCAGCCACTGCTCATTCTCATTATCGTTGGTCAGAGTTTTCTAGATTTGCATAGTCTCGGATTCTGAACGAATACGAATCTGATGAGTACGCATGCGCGCGGGATACATACTTCTTTAGCTCCCAATTGGGTTAGGCAAAAACTATCGTCCACCACTTTCCGTGATCTTGACTAACCTATCTTGATCACTTATATTAATCAATACTTTCATATGATTCCCTCTCATTATAATCATTACTGACACCTTTTTAAAAACATTCTCAAAAAATATTCCTAAAAATGCTTCCACCGTTGCTCTATACATATCTATTTCACCATTCTACTGTCATTTATCCGAATGACAGTCAAAAATCCGCTCTAGCCTTTGAGAATAAAGTCCAAAACCTACGTGACTGTGAAAACGTCTGGAAATTATAAAAGAAGTAACAAGTAAAGTTGTTTATTTAAGAAATGGACGGGATTTCTTTTTATCTAAGGCCAAATTAAATGGAATAAATTGGGTCCCCCGCGGCAGGGTGCCCAAAATAGTAGCTTTATATTTTTGTAACCTGGCCATACCACAGAATTTGAAAGAATTTCTTTTACTTATATCACGAACTTTATAAATACCATCAGTACGCTATACATCGGGTTGGAGAGGGCATAGTCCACCATGGCCCGATGCCGGTTAGGGATTTTATATATTTTTCAAGAGTTATGAACAAAGGTCCACAACTTCTGAAATTCGATATGCAAATTTTATCAAGATTTTTTGCTTGCCATTACCGTGAGATCTTGCTACTAAATATTCACAAATATACCTACGTACGTAATTTGGAAATTAAAGTCAAACCAACAACAGCTCTGTCACTAATCGCTTAAGTCACATTTTTAACGGACTTGAAAACCAGAAGAAGGTTTTCATTTCGACTGCATTTTATGTATCTTACGCAATTATTCCCATATTTGTGAACCGATTTCGTAGATTAATTTTTATTGGAAAGGGGATAGTTCAGTAGTGGGCCCATTCAGATTTGAAGAAAACATTCCACCTCTAAGGGTGGCAAATTAGAGGATCAATCCGGTTTATTGGATTGGAGATTTCAATAAAATTGGCAAATAGAATGAATGAATGAATGAACGAAATGAAATG